TATGTGTGTGTTTCTGCCTATCTTTCTGTCTGTCTGTCTTTCTGTCTGTCTGTCTGTCTGTCTGTCTGTCATGCTGGTCCTAAACATTGGCTATATTCTCAGGCTCAAGTGGGTTATTATTGGACAAATCTTTCTTTGTGAACCTTGTGCCCCTTTGGTCTGTCTGCGTGTCTGTATGTCTGTGTGTCTATTTGTCTATCTGCGTCTGTGCCTGTTTGTTTGTTTGTTTGCCAGCTTGTTTGCCTGTCAGTTTGTCTATTTGTCGAACTGTCTGCTTGGCTATCTTGGTCTACATCATATTCTCTCTCTCTCTCTCTCTCTCTCTCTCTCTCTCTCTCTCTCTCTCTCTCTCTCTCTCTCTCTCTCTCTCCCTCTTTCCATAACTCTAGGAGTTCCCTTTGAACGTTTGTAGGCGTGCGCTTATGGGTGTCTGTTTATTTGCGTATGAGTGTATAAAGTTCTCCCTTCCCACCCACCCAATTCTTTTTTTTGGTGCGAATGAGCTTACGTGCGTTGACAGGGAGGTACATATTTGGTTTATTTCTTTGCTTTCTCTGTCTTTTTGGTGTGTGTGTGTGTGGGGTGGGGTGGCGGTGGGGTTGGATTGGTTAGTTTGAAGGAAGGTTAACAAGTTCGCTTTTTACAGTTATCTTGGGTTCAGGCTAAAATTATGTTTCCTTCAGAGATTGCAACATTTACCTTTACCCTTTCTTCCGTCTATAAATAAATAGATAAACAGATAAATAAGTAAAAAACAAACAGATAAATAGATAAATAAATAAATAAACGTATTGTCGTATGTTTAGTTGTAGACAATGTTTGGTCTGGAAACAATGGGTCTTTTTGTCTGGCTCATGCGAAGCTACAGCAGAAGAAATATTCTCGAGCTTCTCAACACGCTGTACGTATTGATTTCAGCTAAAGTAGTTTGTGACTGGATTGGCGGTACGTGTATCTGGATGGTCTTTACTTTCCCTATGTTTTTTGTCTTATCAGTCTTGCTTTTTACACACATTAAAATACCGCTGTTGTGTAGTTGTGCTTCTCTTAATCTCCCCCACCCCCACCCCAAACAAAAACAGTGGGTGGTTGGCGGGTGCTCTGGTGTGGCTAGCTTCTTCTTTCCTATCAAACATCTATCGTCTTTGTCTCCCCTCCTTCTTTTTTATGTTTGTTACTCTCTTGTAACACCTTTAATCTTCGGCACTTATATGACCTTACTGTGTTGCAAGTGCCGTAAAACACGTATTAAAACTAAAACTAAAACAAAAACAAAGCAAAAAAAAAAAAAAAAAAAAAAAAAAAAAAAAAAAAAAAAAAAAAAAAAGGGGGAGAAAAAAGAAAGAAAAGCTCCACAAAAAGATAAAATCTAGCTTAATTTCAATATTGGTTTTAGCTCAACCATTGACGTATGGTCTACGAAGTACTGGCGTGTCATCTTAGAGTTTACACTGTTTGTTTTGCTGTAGGCTTTTTGGGTTGTTGTTATTTCTGTCGATGGCAAAGATCAATGCCCGATGTGATCCAAGATTATTATAATCCTTTTCCCGAATGTCATAAACCAGAAATTCGCTCCAGCTCTGAATGTATCCGTCTAGGTGTAAATAGTTGTAATGTTTGCGCGTAGGTGGAAATTATCGGAATGTTTACATCCTCATTAACACAATATATATCACGTAGGAGGCCCACTGTTGTTTGACAAGGCCAATCGAGGCTGAGTAGATACAGCTTTCAAGCAGAAAGAGGGAGATTCTCGATGATGAAATAGTTCCTGCACCGGGAACCTAACTCATGTCGCTTGGATACAGCAGTTAAGAGCTTAACCACTACGCCAGAGAAGCCGGTGAAATAAAACTTCCTCACTAAAAATGCACTGTTAATTATCCCTCGTGGCATACTGTTCACTACAGTGGACACGATTTTAAAGTCAAGACATGCTGCCTCTTACATCCGTATATTCTTTTTAATTCATCAATTTGTTTTGTCAAGAAAGTTGAAATCGTTCTTGTTTTATAGCTGAAGTCAGGAGCAGTGTTGCTCTCTACTATAGCCCTTTCATCAAAGTAAAACGTCTTTCTATGCTTAATGTCCATTACAGTGGACACATAGCCATCACGAAACGTAATCAGAGTTCATTACGGCCACTACGGTGAACAAATTGAACTCCCTTAGTTTGAAAAAAAAAAGAATTAATTTTATGTGATTTCCATGGATAAAACAACTTGTCGAGTGAATTTGAACCACTAATTGTTATTGCTTCATACTTCATGAAAATTTTTATTGAGAACACCTAACCGTAGGAACTATTGCGAAATCAGTTTTTGATGACTGATTTTTTTTTAAATTTGCACCCCAATTTTAATCCTGCGGCGAATTTCAGATTAATTCTACGTCACAGCGCGTCTCCACGAAATCTGAAAGTGATTTTACGAAAAATATCAAGCAGCGCTTGATTTCTCGACCTTGTCCTCATTCCATCGCCCAATCGTCCTAATTTTGTATAATTTTGTGGTCACACCTAACAGTTTATCGTATGATCGCTAGATCGCCCAATTTTTGTACAATTTATCGCTACGTGTAACCGGACTATTTCAGCTTGACTGAATATTTACTATTGTGATTTAGTAAAATGGACTTCGCAGAGGTTTGGAAAAGAAATATGGACAGACTAGGTCTCCGAATACCCCGTGTTCTGAAATCAAGTAATAAAGTAATCAAGTATCATACTAAATTATTCTGAACCAGCTGCACTCGGAACCATAATATTAATATGTGGCACGACGCGATGGAATCAGGCGCTTGTCAAATTTTGAACATTAAGAGTTATTGGTATTTTCTTAAAGCTTGTTCATTTATCTTGCTTTTAATGGAAAAATACTCGTCTATCTTGAATAGATGTTGAGCTGTTTGTGATTGAAGGAGGTGGGGCTGTCTGGTGTCAGAGGAAAACAAATTGAAAAAATGGCCATCAAAGTTTACTGACTTCCAAAACTTGAGTGTCTTTGGAAACTGCTCATATTCATTTTTGGTACCTTTGATCTACCATTTGCAATAACATATTTCACACAGAAGTGTGTTTTTAAAAGGACATTATAAATGCTGAGCCAAATAACAAAAATTCGATAAAAGTTGGCAAAGCGGCTGAAAAATATTGGTTTCTATAATTTCATACTTTTGACGAGCGCCTGCTTCCACCAAGATGCCTTACATTACACACGGTGTTAGAATCAACTTTCATTACTTTTTTTTTCTGTTTATAATTCCTCGCAGGCCAGACAGATTTTCAGTTCAGATCCGATTAATTAAGGAGAGTCTAGTAGATGGTGGAAATGTACAAGTCATTTAGCTACTTATTACTAGAAGCTCTGCTGCCACCTACCTCGTGCAAACTTAATGACGAGTGGGGAATGTTTCCTATTCGATTTTTAGTTAAGGGGGAGTGTTTCCTACTCTTTGGTTAATTAAAATCATTTATAAGTTTCTGGCTTCTGCATCCAAGCAGCAGTGGTCAGTCTTACTTTCCTGGGAATCATAGGGAGTGAGTGGTGGGCAGGTGCTCCGGTGTAGTTCTTTTTTATTTTTAATCAAACATCTATCGTTCTTAATCTTTCCTCCTTTTTGTGTTTGTTACCCTCTTGTAACATGTCTAATCTTCGACACCTATATGACCTAACTGTGTTGCAAGAGCTGTAAAACTCTTAACAACAACAAAAAAGGGACCCCCCCCCCCAGAAGAAATACAGAACCCCTACAGAGGCTGTGGTTGCTGTGATTTCAGTTTAATAGTAAAGTTTATGATTTCTGTCTTCGAGTTTGTCTGTGATTTTTCTCTAACAATTTGTCTTTTGGTTTCTGTCTATGAGTTGGTCTGTGATTATTGTCTACGAACTTGTCAGTGATGTCTGTCTATGAATTGGTCTGTGTTGACCTCCCCTCCACATATCATGCACGAGGCTTCCTAACCTCCGTTGCACACATCTGACCTTTCACGTTTCCCATGAGTGTCTACTCCTGAGGTTACTCCCACATCCACTTGTCAGAGATACCTGTCATAACTGCACGTGTTTTTGCTTGTCTCTACCTGTCTCAAGTGCTTGATCTCCTGTCTCCAGCTCACATTACGATTAGCCTTTCTGACAAAAAAACAAAACGAATAAACACATACAAACAAAACATCCCCCAACCACCACCCAAAAAAAAAACCCGCACAAAAAACCTCTAGAAATACTAAATTATAAAAAACAAAGCAATA